TTCTTTTTGCTAACAAATAAACACACGGTAGAATGGCATCAATGAACTCTGTATGGCTCTTATGCCACTATGAATAAAGGTGATTCAAGCTATTCTGATGAGAAATCTAACATCCCCCTTTTGCCTGTTTCATGGTGTTTTAAGAGAAAGTACTAAGGAAGGTTCAGCATCTTCCAACCGGAAAGAAAATAGAAACACATTCTGCTGAGTCATTCTGACACGTTGAGCCAAAAGCTGATGCAATCCTTCTTTTATCACCGGAAGATCTCTGGTAATCACAGACACACCTCTTATTTCAATAGCGTTGGTAAAGAACTGTTGATTCCTCAGACCTAACCCAGTGTGTACAAATCACACTTCTGTTTTCTAGTCTCAGTCTCTTAAGAAGAGATTAAAAATGAGAGGCTGGAAAGAACAGGACTTCTAAGGAAACGCCAGTCCTTTACCATGGAACTACTGCTTGGTTTACACAGAGATCCAGAACAAAAGTGCTTTAAAATAGAATACTGTTTTGAAACAGAATACTGTTTTGATGTATATTTCATTCTTAAAATTAATTACAAGTCACCACTGTGTGCCATCTGACATGGCAACCTGTTGTTAATTGCAGCAGAAATTATTTGTACTTGAACTAAAAGGCAAATAAAATAACAAGTTCTTCATAAATAAAATTGTCTTCAGTGTTTTAAATCAATTCTGTGCCGCCTTACTTAATACTGGATTGCACCATTTTGGTATTATAACTAAGCAATTTTTCTCTGTGGCTAATTTGAATTTAATAAGACTTTGTTACTTGTGGAACGAGGACAAGAAATTGTTTCATTTACTTTCTGTGATCCGTTTGGTTACATAGAGATGATACAGTCCTGAGAACATTAAGCTTTACATATTAAAACTCGAAAAAAAATTTACTAACTCCTTTGTCAAAAGAATAAGCTCAGTGTTAGCAAAATGTTAAGCTGGCATTTAACCTGGCAACAACACTAAGAAATGAAAAATTGCAGATATTTTCAAGGAAATGAGAGAAATGGGAGATCAATGTATTGCTTCTTTTACAGTTAGAAGTTCTCCAATTTCGACAGTAATTGATAGTCCTTTTTCCACACCCTTCTGCCATAATTATGTAAAGAATCTGGATTATGCTTCCTACCTGATTTAACTGTTTTATAATAAGTCACAAGAATACCTTGCCTACTTGATGATATTCCTTTAAGGCTGTGCCAGTCTTTCCATTATTAAATCATGTTTAGTGTTATATACTGGTTGCTTAAAAAAAGATTCATTTCAAGCTTGGACTTGCTATGTATTCTCAGCTAGCCATATGTGTGAGGGAGCACAAAAAGCATCAGTATTATTTAGCAACTTCACGTATTATTTTTGAACTTCATATAAATTTGACTTCTGAAATAAATGAGGAAAAAAAGGTTTTAATTTGTTAGTGGAGAGAATAGGCATAAAAACGATGAAGAACTGCATTTTGCCAACACAGTCTGCGTGATGCTCTGTATATTCTCCCCCACTATAAGCCTGACCCATTTGGAGAAAAGCAGCTTTTGGTTGGAATGGGAAACCAGACACATGCAGAGAGTAGCAAGGATTGTGAGTTTTAAACCCAGCATTTCAGATATAGATAAGACCAGAACTCCTAGTTAACCATTCTGCTACTCTTTTGGCTTGTTAGATTTCCTGAAATCTTGATTTTGATGAGAATTAAAAGATACTGTTCCATCTTTCTGCAGCCTTTTTAGTTTTTTTTTTTTTCCATATCCTGTAAAAACACAGAGACTTTGCAACTCAGTAATATTGACAAATCAGTACACAGAAATTTCCAACATAATAATATTAGCCAGTTATTAGAACAAGGGAGAGAGTTTTCATAGCTGAATTAGACTTTCAGGAGCATTCAAAATGAAACAGTAGGTTTCTGACGCGTCATTGCATAAAAAGAGTTCCTAGCATTTGTTCCTCTTCAAAGTTTTGTCCATAACATCCTGAAGGTCAAAAATAATCATTTGAAATACCTAAACCTCAAGAAGATATACTAAAACTATCTGAAGGAGATACTGTAAGGACAGTAAAATCTCTGTCTGGCTTTATTGTGAAGAGCTCTATCCTTATATGCTTCTGCTGACTCTAACAACAGACATATTTATGCCTTTCAGTATAAAACATGACTTCATCTGTAGCCTTTAAAGGTAGTCATATTTTATTCTCCATTTTCAGAACAGATAACTGTGTTCAGTCTTTACATTCGTTCAGATTTTGCTATCTGCTATTTGCAGAAAGAACTCAGGCCACTTAAGCTTCCATACTATTTTTTTTTTTAAACTTATTTTAGGCTTTTGTAGTCAGACAGAGGTAAGCTAATAAATCCCTCCTAAAACCTTTTTGGAAGGTACATTTATGATATCTGTAAGATGTTGTGAACACTCCCTCACACCCAAGCACTCAATTATAAATGCATCCTGTGCTGATGTCTAATACTATGTGAATTTGCCAAGTGGTCTCATCCAAATACTTACTCGGCCAGGGACTGCTTAATCTCTGAGATCATTGAGACTTATTCTGATGTGGCTGTAGGCTCTAGACAGTTAAATTTGCAGAAATCCACTGAAGGCAGTTTGCTTTTCAGAAGTTGCTGAGGGCGTAATTTGGCTTTTTCAGTTTGAGGGTGGGCTGTTTAACCTGAGCAAGTTCTAGCTTGCTCAATTATAATTTAACAATATATTCTCCCCATACTTTGTGTTACTCCCAAGAGATGCTTGCATCTCCTTGATGCATGAAAGGATACCTGTATTTAATGTACATATTAAATACGCCTGTAAATTCTCACATAATTTTACATTTAAAAGTACTATTTGAGGTGTGTGTGTATATATAATTGTTAGATGCATGTATAGAAATAAAACAGTCTTTGCTCTTCCCTTTTGTACCTCCTCAAGACATGTAATCTACAAAGCAGGAGAATTGCATGATAAAATGTGCCAGAGTGGAATGCATAATTATTCCAGAGGAGGGTAAGTCAGTTCAGAACTTGTACTAACATTCTTAAGGGCAGCAGGAGTCTTCTTGCCATGAAATTACATCAGCTCTGTATGCCTCAGAGTCAGTGCACATGCTTTCCCTTTCTAGTAAAAAAAAAAAAGCGTGACAAAAGCTAGTGTCTTCAAAAATCTACTGTAAAACAAAGCTAAGTAAATGAATATATATTGTAATATGATGATCACCTGTAAGTGAACTTGAATTTAAGGTTAGAAGAGATTGAGACATTGTACTTTAAAAAAAAAATCACTTTTTAATAGATTAAGTCATGACTTGCAAACAGACAGAAAACATCTAAATAAGAAAAAGAATGCTTCCTTGATCCCAGTTCAGAGACATTCCCATAACAGGTGGGGCAGAAGCATTTAAATTGCAGGTCTCTTCCATATACCCAAATTTGTTACAATTCCATCAAGTAATGAGAAAAGATGTCTTTACAGTAAATAGCAGTGGACGTAGCTAGCAACACCCATGTCAAGATCATTAAGAGACAGATGTTTGGTTGGGATTGTGTACTAACAGCGTTTGAGGTAGAATGTGTTCTATATGGAAACAACTCAATTTCCTAGGAATCTTAAGATGAATCATGCAGCACTTATTGCTGATTAATATACTTAAATTGTCACCAAGATGGTTAACTAATGCAGTTTATCACAGTTCTGATCTACTGTCATTTCTGTATAGTAATTAAGCCTGGCTCAGCTAGTGGACTAAGAGTGACTAATCCTCATTTCCCAATAAGAAGAGGGAAGGAAAGGAACATTCCCTATATCTTAAGCTATAATGTCTGGCACTTAGAGCTGATTGTTGATCTAAAACATGAGACACATCTCACAAAGACTGCATCTGACATAGCATCTTGGCAGTAGGGTTTGTTTGCAGACTAATTCTAGTGGCAGACTCTCCAGCAGCATGCCACATTTCTTAATACACAAGGAACACGTGGAATCAAATTCTACATGACTGAAAGAAATGTACAGGTGAGAAAAACATGCCTAAAGATATATTTATATTTATGACACTATTATTAATAGATTACAAAGAAAGAAAAATATGCAAAAAAAAACAGGCTATAGGAGTTTGGTTTGTACTAGCCAGAACTGTTAAGTACTCAGCAATGATAGATGCAGTCAGGATAGCAATCTACTGTTTAAAGGGCTTAAAACTTACATAATCAGTCTGAGATCTGTACACTCTATCTCCAGTTAGAACACACTTGGCAAGTCAGGCATTAGCTTATGGCATTCTGCAAACATGTAATGAAAGGATGCATTCACCCCTCTTTCCATGTTAAAGCTTCTAATGACCTTGAAGGAAGCATCACGTTACGAATGAAGCAGCAACATGCTCATATTTTATTGCAGTGACTGGGAATGAGAGAAATACTCTTTTGTTGCATTGACATCCCCTTCTAATTAACAGGGAAACAGTTGCCCAGTAGATCCTTTTCTCCAAAGTGGGAGAGTTTTATGTGAAGTACCTGAGGGAAAAGCATTCACTCTTCCTAGTTTATTTTAGAAGCAGAAATCTAATTTCCATGAGCCGTGCTAATTCTTTTGCTCTGAACTACAGTAAAACAGAAAACATACTTTAGATTTCATTACAGCCTCAAAATGGGACGTGGCATACTGATAAAGCATAACTCTTGTTAATGCATCTAATGCTTCTTCATTATTTCAGTTATCTTGTAGTTAAAGTTATACTGTTAAGTCTCTTCCATTAAGTCCCTATACTAGATTATCTCAGAGAAAAAAAAAAAGAAAAAAAGACTCACTATAGTAACTTTTGTAACAAACATTTGATAAGTAGCTCCTAAACTCAAAAACAATGACCCACTTTCACTCCTAGTTTTGTTTGTACTCCTTTCTATCTACAAGAGAGACAAAAAGAAGTTCTTTTGCATTGCATGTCTATATGCTTTAAAAATCTAATTATCTTTACCAAAATTTCTCTTTTAGTTAAAGAAGCAACAAGAGAACATGAACAACCAACTTCAGTCTGTTATTACTTACTCCAGCTATCTTCAGTGCATAAGGAAGCATAGAGCAATAGCAGGAGATGAAAACAATTCAAAGACTTGCCCTCAACCAAAAAATTTGGGTATTCCTCAGTGCTTATAAATCCTTAAAGAAGAATTTGGCTGATGGGGATTGGTGAGAAGAACAGGCACATGTGAGTAAAATAAGAATAATTAGGAGAAAAATGCTAATGAAGTTCACGTGTGAAGAGTGAAGCTCTCAATCCATTCTCAGTCTTGTCAGATTATGATATTTTTCACTTAGGTTCTGTTATTATTGCTTACACAGGGCAAAGGTTTAGCAGTGGAAGACAGCTGCCTTCTCTTAATATTTACGCTCTACTGTGAAGTGGATCAGTTTTTAAATACTGCATCCACCCTTGGAAATTCTGAGCGATGTCACAACAGAAGTTAAAACCTCAAACCCATTTAAGAAAAGGAAAAAGCCTGGTATCTTTTTGTGTTTGTTTTTGTTAAAATTGGTTTTCTTTCTAATTCTATGTAACGTGACCTGTGGGGAGAAAAAGCTTTTCTTTCCACAAAAAGAAAAAAACATCTCTTTTACTCCTGAGCTGTCTTAAAACAAAGCAGGGGGATAGTCTTTCTGTTCTTTCCCTTTAAGTGCAGGGATACTTGAGAATACCTGACGATCTAGAGATTATTTTAATTCTTTTTCTGAAGGCTAATTTTATTTCATTCTTTCTTAAAATATTTTTTGAGGTGCAATAATCTAACTGCACATAGCCAAATCAGTGCTTCACGAAACTTGATATAAATTGTTATCTTGAGGTGTAACATTCTTCCTTAGAAGATGAGAAGGAAATAAAGGAAGTGAGGAAAACATCATTTTGCAAATTTTGCTGCTTATTTGTGTAATAGAATGTAAATTTGGAAAACTAATTTTAGCTGTCTGTTTTGAAACTTATCACACGAGATTTTAAAACCATCTTAATAGTTTTACATATGTCTAATAAAAAGCATTTCCGTATGAGACATGTATTCTCATCAGGACTTAATTTCATTTGTGCTGGCATTTGTGACATGTTAGATAATCTTTCTTAATCTCTTCTGAGTCAGTAATCATTTCTAGTTATTTTTGGTATGAAAAATAAACTCTACTAGTGATAAAAATTTGCAAATCATTATTTGTAGCACTGGCTTCCTAGATAGCTTTGTTAATTCAGAGAAGAAGAAATGCAGAGCTCACTTAAGTTGCTTCTTACTCCATTTCTGAATGATTAAAAAAAAATAACTGAAAAAACCTGATCTGAGAGGAAGCTCAGTAATACCTACTGCCACTTTAGGTCAATTTATATGTATGGTCAATTTATATTGGCCTTGCACTGACAATTTAGAATAGCCCTGGTCTCCCACAGATCCTGTATTGTTGCTGTCCCTCCCCTCCACCCCCAGCATTGTGGTGATTCTGTTTATTAAGATGGATGTCTGAAAAGGCACTAGCTAGATTTGTTTGGTATATTCAGCCACTTGCATCCTACCCAACATCACTGGAATCTGTTGTTAATGAGCAACTTGCTAGGAAATTTATTTCTAGTATTCATCCAAATACTGGCAACAGCCACGTCAATGCACAGATATCGTACAATGACTTTTTCAATTTTGTAAATAAGTTTCATTGTATGTGTTGTATTCATTGAGACAACATTAGTTCAGATAAACAACTTTGTTCTTCTGGAGGAGGAAGTATACAAATTACACTCAGTATTTACAAAGTACCTTAGTACTATTTGTCTAATTTTTATTGAAGAGTTAATGGTGGTTTCAAAGCCAGTTTAGCATCCATATTCATCCATAATTACAATCTTTTGAAACTTGCTTGTGTTTTGAATGGCTGCAGGCCTACTGGTCAGAAAATGACTCCATCTCAATCTTAAACCTAAACTTGATGAAGTAGCTCTATAGATTTCATATTATGCTGATCTGTAAGTGGAAGGTGACAAAAAGGATGGAGTGCTGTGCATAGTGACCTATGGCATCATAATCTGCATCTCCATGGAAAAGGTACATATGAAGTACACCACTCATGTGTCTAGGCAAATGTTTCCAAAGCTGAGCCTCAGACACTCACGTTATTTCTGTGTTACCATTTATGCAAGCCTAGATAGCACTGTATTGCATAACTGGGTACTTAGAGCTTGCAAATGTATTCAAAACACAATTTATTTAATGAAAAAATACAAACCAGAGAATAAATGTGTGATTAGATTTTTCACTATTTTTTTTCTGATAGGTATTCTGAACATGTGCTATAGATTGCCTAAAAATTTTTTAACTATGAAAAAGTACATAAGGAACATAAGCATGCGTGAGCTTGCATGTGACACGCTTTAGCAAGCTTGGAGATACAAAGAACTTCTGGCATTGTGGGGAGGCACAATGTTATGTACATTGTGTGGGAGGATACACCATACAGATTTGATTGCATCATCTTGCTCTCTTTTTGATTTTCTTTTCTTTTTTCTTTTCTTTTTCTCTCTCTCTCTTTTTTTTTTTTTTTTTTGGTTCCAGATGGTAAAACAAAGACTGCAGTGAAACCTGTTTTCTCCCAGGAAAAGGTGGGAGGGAATTTTATATGAGCAAGAAACTTCGCCTCAAGTCAAAATCCAGGGTCTGGACTAATGAACTACCTGTAGTTCATATTGTACTATATTGCTGAAACTAGGCATGTACTAATCATGAACCATGCCAAACTATGCATAATTACCATGCTTTCTCTGTAGCAGTAATTAATTTGCGTTAGCAACTTTGATTAATCTTTCTAATCTAAAAGTAAAGTGCTTCTCAGACATAAAAGGCTATAGAACTGCTCAGGGTTGTTACTGCTGCCAGTGAGGGGTGTTTCAACCCAGAGGGGAGCAGGAAGGGGACAAAATTAAAATCAGTTTTGATGGTGTTTATAAAATAATAGGAACATCGATATTTAAGGAGTGCTGTTTGCCACAGAATTCATAGTCTAAAATGTAGGTTTCTGTCTACAGTGCATTTCTTCCTGGGAAGTAAAAAAATAATAGAGAATCATCTTTAATTTAGTAAGAGAGCTGCTTTGAGGGCTGTTTCACAAAGATGATGCGCCCATTACAGAATGAGAGTCCATCCTTCAGAGGGCAGCGCCATGTATTTATAGTTTCTAATGTTGCAGTGCAAACCTGCCCCCAGATTTCTGTCTTCCAGTCCTAAATCTGGAGGACAGTATTGTTCTAAGGCGACTACCAGATGCTAATGTATGAACTTGATTTTGACATCACTTGAGGTGAAAGTTTCCATGCTTTGTTGCCAAACTCTTGGTCCAGGACAGACTTTGTCCAAAAGAATCCCAAACTGAAGCTATGTAGTCACAGTTATTGTTATTTCTCTATGCTTCATAAACTAATACTTGGCTATGAGCTAGTACAGAAAGTAAAATTTCAGAGGCAAATAGATGTGTTTCTACAAATGCATTATAAATTCCAGAGGATTTAGAAGTTAACCTCGTGTTACTCGTTTCTACCTCAGATATGCTAGTATAAATATATATACTATTTTCTTGTGTTTCCACTGCTAGCACTGCTTCCTGGCATAGAGTACTGCTGTATGCAATTCAGGATAAGGAGAATGACATGATATTCATTTGGAAAGGGATGGTCAAGAGATTACTGATCAATTTCAGTTTCCTTTTGAGAATTAAAAAAAAATACTGCTGTTATCTCAAAGCCTGGGATCGACTGTTTTTGCAAGTTAGAGAAATATTCAACAAATACATTCCTTAATAGAAAATGCAAATGTGTTTCCTAAAAGTTATATTTTTTAATGATGCCAGTGTAAAAGGGAATTATTTCTGACAGTTTGCTTTCTTAGAGTTGTAGCTTGTGTCCAAACATTTCATAATCACATAAATACCCTTTTGAAATCAGTTAAAACAGACAATATATACTGATGCTGAAACAAGCTTTGTCAAAGACATTTTTTAAACAGGCATGGGACTTTACATTTATTAGAAGGTGCTCACAAAAATAAGGGTAACATCATGCATATTCTTTGCAACTAAAATCAGTTATGGTTACAATTTGTAAATAAATTTAAATAGACATGGAGTACAGTAGTACATATACACTCTATTTATGAGATTAATTTAGTGTAATGATAACTCAGCAATACATCAGAAATCTACAGTCAGCTGATGGAAAGATTGTATAAGGAGGAAGAAAGTGCTTCAGTTTCTCACGCTATTTATGCAGCTTGACAAGAACGTCAGTGGGAACTGCCTCCTAAACTTGGGAGGCAAGAACAAATCAGGACTACTCTTGCAGTACAAAACATTTACACACAAAATACACATGCATTGCAATACATTGGAAATGGGTAAAGCAAGAAGAAACCCATAACTCAATGCTTTATTAACACAGATCTACAAAGAAGTCTCAATTAGGATAATATAGTCAGTCACAGTAAGGCCACAATATTACAATAGATAAGGACTTCAGAATTTGGCATTCTGTTTTCATAATAGAACTCTACCTTGTTTATCACTATACATGTTCCCAAATGGTATTTCATCAAAGTCCTTCTTCTGTGGGTTTTTTGTTTGTTTTTTTTCTTTTTGTAAGTTTAACATATTGCTTAATACAACAGTTAGCACAGGAGAGAAAGGTACTGCCACAGGGAAAACAAAACCTATGTAACATTCACGTAGATTTTAGACTATATGCTGTGTGCATTTAGATGAAGCTGGCTAATCAGAAAAAAGACTAGCAAAGGATTTCCTCAAGTTTCGAATAGTTTCAGCTTTTGCTTCATCTTCGTTCACAGATGATCGGAAGAAGGATGATTCTGTGAAACTGAAGGCATTTGTCAAGGACTGCGACTTGCTGCAAGACAAAAATGCAACATGTTTGGTATGGTCATATTGTCTATCAACTTCCATCCACATATAACTTGTATAAATTAGCAGAAAAGGAAGAATGGCTGTGAGATACAGACAATTTCCATTTGAGCAAAATGAATGTTCAACACAAGTAATATGGTTAGATATAGCATACAGAGTTGCTGCAATAAAGCATCTTCCTTCTGTACTTTGATTTGACAAGTAGGGCAATCTTTTATTTAGAGAACACACTGCTTTTTTACATACCTGAAACATTATGTCTAAGTAAACTGGATGACATAAATTAGAATTTAAGGCGAATCTGAGCCTGCCTACTAAATCCAACTCACTACTCAACAAAGCATGATGGGAGCTCAAAGAATGAGACCTAAAGTTGTAATGTGTTCCACTGCTGCGTGTTAGATAATGTTCAAACTTAATGGCGGTTTAATGACAATTTTCCTCTTTGAAAAAATTCCCAAATCAGGTATCACTTTGCTTCTCTGTCAGCAGTTAGTCTAGCAATCCTATTCTGTTTTTAGTGCTATCATGTACACATGGTTTAAGTTTCTGCAAGCATGAATAAAATAACGTACAAGAAAGAAAATGTCTGAAGTTTAAAACTAACTCAAGTAAAATAACACCTAAAAGGTAAGTTTGAATTTAAATATAAACCAATGATGAGTTATAATCTTTTTTTGAAAATATCCATGCAATAATATATTAATCAATTTCGTTTTTCTCTCAGTACAATAATAGGATTTCAGTTTTGGCTATAGTTAATCACTCTCCTTATTCAAGTTGTTTTATACTCCCCATGGTTTGCAACTTTTCTATGTCTGTACAGCAAACAGTGCTACAGGCGTTTTAGGTTTTTTGTAAATTATAGTTGTGTTAATGAGAATAGACTGATAAATGTTTGTTTGTACTCACTAAAAGAGGGAGGGTGGGAAGCAGCACTTGACTTGATTAGTAACACAATAAGTGGCCTAATTAAATATTTATTCACAGATTAATAACATGTACATACAGGTTAGGCAACAGCATGTGGGTGAATACAAAGTATGCACATGCAAATAGAGTTAATCCTACAGGCAGGAGATCTGAGTCTTGGTGCAGACCTAAAAGTTCTTGAAAGTTAGAAAAACTACACCAATATAGTTTGCATCTTAAAAATTGAATTCATTCTGTTTTCTTTCATATAGAGACTACTTTTCCATTTGAGGAAAAAGAGAAAGCTGGAAAAATGTATGTGGTACAGTTTTTTTCATATCAGAAATGAACAAATTAAGTTTCAAACTAGTTTAGGGTCTTTCATCTTGCTTAAGAAAATGGAGCTGTCTATTCTCTAGATAAATAATAGATGAATAAATTGGAATTTTATGTTTATAAAACAAAATAAAGAACTATACTGTCCCAGGAATGCAAGAAAACACTTTCTTCAGAAGCAAATATGCTTAAGCTTTTTTGTCTATTGTTTTAATCTGTGCATCCTCTCATCTAACAAGGCTGTTTGGCTGAACTGTGTTCAGGCGAGGACTCAGAATTGCTTCACACCAGTACAAGCATGTGAGTTGGTGGAAAGGGGGAATCTGCACTACTGAAAAAAAATGATGGCTTTTTACTCATCAACCTAACTGCAATGTTATCTGCGACTCTACTGGCAGTAGAGTCAGGATCAATACGTTGAAAAACAGCAAATCATTGCTAATACCCTCTCCATGTTTTCCATTCACTGATTTAAAGCTCTATGAGAATGCATGGCTACAGATCCCATTCACATTCCTTACTGCAGTGTGTAGCTGGCTATATAGAGCAACAGCCTCATGCTGTGCAGGAGGGAACCTTCCAGCAGTGAGGTAGCTACAGGCAGGTGTCTGTGCGAGTCCTGCTGACATCTCCAGAAAGAGTCTGAGTGACTTGTGCTGCACAGACAGTAGCAATGTGCACCATGACCAGAGCGTTACTGTAAACACAGTTTGACGGCTTGTTCATTAGGCTGTTTCTGAGATAGGCCTTTTGAAACTGAAATCTGTTCTTTTGAGTGACTGCAAGGTTAAAAGTTGAAGCAGATAAGACTTCCTCTTCTCTGTGCAGGCGAATAGCACACCCAGATCATGAGTCAGTGACATAAGAAGGAAGGGAAAGAAATGAGAACGATCAAGAGTTTTCACATCAGATCTAGTGGGGGCATAAGTTGCACAACTAATGAAATCTTGTATAGCACAGGATGTAACTAATGCTACTCTAATGATAAACCGATAATAAGCTTTTTGAAACCTCAATTTAGACTGGGAAACGTATGTACATCTTTATAAGAAGGTCAGACCGGCTCTCAAATTACAGTTTCAACAACAAAATGTAACTATTCTGAGACCAGAAAACTGATAAAGCAAATCTTACTTAAGCTGTGGGTGAGACTGAGGCTTCTGCTGCGGTGCGGGCTGCGGGGCGGGCTGTGGCGCAGGCTGTGGCTGTGGAGCAGGCTGTGGTTGTGGTGCAGGCTGTGCCTCTGCCTCCTTTTGTAATCGGGTGCTGGAAGGACCTTGAGCCTGGGCACGTGGCTGCTGGGTCGTGGGTCCGGGTGGACGCTGTGGCTGGGAAGTGGAGGGCTTTGCTGACTGCCCAGGGGGGTACATGCGCTGTGGCTGCAATGGCTCCTGGCTTTGTGATTGCATTCCTTGGGGTTGCACTGGGCCCCCTAGGTTCAGCACAAGAAAAACTTCATAATGTTATAGTATCAAAGAGCTCTTACTAGATTCATATCCAACACTTTAATATAATCCTTGAATGTGATAATTATACTTCTGAGGCAAAAATCTATGGAATTCTATGCACTGCAGCTTAACGTAGTCAATTCTACAATTTACAGCTGGTACATTAGAAGCTTGCTTGGAGCATCCATAAAATTGCTAAGTCCCAGACTTATCCCAGTGGTAACCCTACTGCCTTCAAATTAGTGGAGTTACAGCCACTATAATTTTGGCCCAGCTAAAGAAGAGGCTGTGAGAGAATTGCATATACCAACAGAATCTAGTTCTGCAATACAGCTCCTATTTTCTGTGTAGTTATTACAATTTTATTCCTCCAAAGCACAGAAGTTATTTTTGTAATATTCCTCTTAAGTTCATTCTTATAGCAACAAAACTAATTTAAAATTGTTCGATAACTTAACTCCTTATTGAAATACATGAAGAGCATTACAAGAAAGGAAAGAAAATCATTACTGATTTTTTACCAAAGAGATCTTCCCACTGAGCAGGAACGATGCTGAAAAAATACTGTAGCAAGTGTGAAATTACCACTTGTGGTACAGAGCTAAGTTGTGAAATCTGTGGCTGAAAGATGCTACATCATCAGTGAGGGCTTTTCTTTTTACTGCTTTCTGTCTGAAATAGTGCTGTGTCAGATATCAGTGGTTGCGCTGCTTTTATCTCACATGAGACGTCTGAATGTGGTTTTCTTGGCTGACAGTTGTCAGAAAAATCTTTATTCTTGCACATGACTAAGCACGTGGGATGTAAGAGTTAAGGGGAGGAAGGGACAGCATGAAATTTTGAGAGACTAGTTTGTATAATGCTTCAGTCAGGGAAAAAGCTTTGCTGAACGGTAAATATTATACAGTGTTCTCAATATTTGGGAATTTTTACTCTTACACATATATTAAGTGCAAGTAGAAGACTTCACCTACTTGAGTCTCTATGGAGAAAATCTTCATATCTGGAAATAATGTTGCAATTCATGATTAAAAAAAAGAAATTGCTATTATAGATAGTTTTCCACTTACTATATGAGATTCCAGTAATCTCATTCCAGTGTATGTGTCTGAGAACAGCACGTACTAATGCTTCAAGAAGTCTTAGTACAGTTATAGCAGTGTTTTGTGGTGTAGAAAGATAAATAGCACGTACTGTATGTTAAGGAATGTGCCTTCATCGTGTATTAATTTTAACCACTTTTGTAGGAAATATTTGAAGGTGATAACATGGTCTTGCAACATCTTAATAAGGATCATTTTCTTATTAGTCTCCTTTCACTCAATATTGAAAAACAGAAAGGTTTCTTTCCCCCACTTGTATATACAGGCTTGAATGCCAGAAACTTTACACTGAAGACAGATATAACTTTCTTTTATTGCACATTAAGCTGTACAAGATATTTCACATAAAAGATATACTGCTGTCACACTTCCAGCATTTGCTCACTTTCTTGCAGCTGGGTTGTACAAAAGGCAACAATCATGAAAGAAATTTTTACCAAAAATAACAAAACTGAACATTAAGCCTACACTGTAAAACATCTGTTCCCTGTTACCACAATATTGCACCTAAGCATGCTTACATGCAGAGAGACATTTTGGCTTGCTTCTTGTCTGTAGTATGTAGCAGTAGTGTGTGCCCTTGTAAATCCTTTACAGTCAAAAAGCTGAAATCCTCTCTGAAACACTCATCTCTTCTTTGCACACACAGCTCACAAATGTCGTGTGAAAAGCACTTGTGAATACTTGTACTACTACATGCAAAAAAATACCAGCTGCTTTAAATAAAATCAATCATCAGATTCATTTCTTCACCCCAGGGCAGTAGTTTATTCACTTTTATGGTGTCTGGAGGTAAGGATTTGTGAACCTGACTCTATGTGGAATTTTCTTAATATAGAACAGAATAGTCAATGCCATCATGGGAATGATCACTGACCCAGACAAATGCTGATCACTAAAGCAAAATATTCATGTAAATTACCGATAGGTAGTAAACAGTAGCACTTACTACACACACTGAAATAGCTAATAATGCATACCTTAGTTCTCATCTTACCAGACAGACTGTACAAAGGAAAGAAATGCTAAGAATGATGATTTTCACTGATAATTTTTTTCCCAGTGTTTGCAGGAAAAACAGAAGAACATAAAGCTGTTTTCCCGTTAAACAGAATTGTTCACACTAAACTAATGGCTGCTCATCTTTGTACGTCTTCTAATTTCAAATTAGAGCTCCGTGGCTCACTCACAACAAAGTTTTATGGTATGCTAGCATTGTGCAGCTTCTGACTCTTGGCTAGAGTTCTCACAGCAGATTAACTGCCCACTTGTATATTTCTTGTAATACTACACTATAAATGGGTTTGAAAAAATCATAAATAATTTACCTACAGAAAATCTAACACTTTTAGGCATCTCAAGTCTTGTTGCACATTTGATTTTAAGCAATTGTTTTAAACCCTGTTGACGTGGATAACACTGGCACTAAATTTTCTTTGTAGCTATCTTGAGATTTCTAGGTTTAAAGTTATAGACCTGAGTTGGTGAAGAAAACCACCAATATTTTTGTCTTGCAAGATCTCTGGCTGGTTAAAGATACTTTGGTCTACTATATCCATACATCTCAGTTTTAGGAAAAAAATGAGCTCTTACAGGAAGTTTAACAGTCCTTGAGGTACTTCTCACCAAATAACCTGGGATTTAACTCTTAGGTGAGCATAAGATTTTTAAAATATTTGCATTAGTTTTTTACTTAAAAATCTCCATAGATATTACTAATTCAGAACTACAACGAAAGGTACTACTTAACTGAAATAAGATACATTAAATACTCACACTTTCACTGAGATATTGCACATAGGTGGCCCATTTACATAGCTTTGTAGCTAATAATTTAATGCAGAATTACTAAAAATATGAATACCAGTATGTAAAATAGAAGATATTTTAAATATTCCTTGGGAAGAACTGTATCGCACTTATCGAGTCTCTGAAATATTAGACTTCCACTTGCATATAAGTAAAACTCAAATGTTAACAAACTTTATAAAATCATAAATAAAAAGCCTCACTAGCAAATTCTAACCTAGGCTGTAAAAAATATTTCTGGATCACCAACCTATTAGTCATGCACACACGCACGCACACGCACACACAAAGGCGATGAGCATAGTGTGCACACACTCACAGAGTAAGCAAAGTATTTAGATTTGAACCTTGGTGGTATTTCACTGACAGATATATAATACTTAAGAAATACTGTCTAACCATCCATACAGTTGCACTGGGCTCTAAAGAGGCACATTCTTTGTACACTGTTGACAACAGCCCTGAAATCACAAGTTTTACAGAGAAAGGTAGGTAAGCGTTACACGCACAGACATGAACAAGTAAACAACCAGACGGTATAGTTGACACTGCATAGAAAAAACACAGTCCAGGTCAGCACTGAACAATGCGAAATTGAACAAAACTGGTATGTTTGCTTTAAAGATTGTGTTTTTGTTTCTTTTTTTTTTTTTTTTTTTAATTTTCATTTTTGTTTTAACTCTTGCTTTTAGTCTCAATTATCTAAGTAGCCTGGACTTGTTTTGGTCCTACTGCAACGCCATTACAGTCGAGAATGTACTGTAAACAACCTTGAGGTGGTGGTCGCTGAGGTGGGATTTTGTTTGGCTCTGGCTCCTTTAGTGATCCACTCTGGAAAACATATTTGAAAACAGAAGAGAAGAAAATTAGAGTAGCATAGTTCCGGTTTTCCACTAATTTGCCTTTACTTTCATTTGAAATCTCTTTATTGGCTGGGGGCTGAACATACAATTTTAATTTATTCCAGAAAACATTCTCAACTTTATTTGGTGCTTGCCATGACAGAAATCCTAGACTATTCCAAAACTGATTTAAAAAAACACAAAACCAAACAACAACTTGTTTTCCCCTTGCAGCATGTGACCAAGACGTAAGTAGTGCCTTCTCAAACCTTACCGCTTTTTGCGTATGGTCTTCCTTCTTCAGCTCCCAGCACCTTGAACCACTTTTCTGTATCTCATCACTTCTGCAGTCTTTTTTAGAGTATACTGAATAGAACTTCAACAGACACCTTTGTGTGATTCAAGAAATAATGTATTTTTATAACATTTGTTTCTGGAAGCAGTAGCACAGCAGTGGTAGTTTCACTTTGATTCTCTGACTGTAAATGGGAAGAGAGATGTACTACTCTAGGTTAACTAGTTTGCTAAGCAAAATGCAAGAAGGAAGCAAAAACCACAAACAAATAGTGAAAATAATTAAAATTATTTCATGCTACTCCATCTGACATGTTATTAGAAACACATGTAATACTTAAATTTTCAAGACAGTAGATTTATTCAGCAGTATCATTTTTGAATGTATACTTGTCCAGAGGAAAAGATGGGCCTGAACCAAAATCTTGGAGCAGAAAAGCCTTTGGGAATGTTAGCACTTGAATCCAAGCTTCGTTTTGGACTCATTTCTTATATTTAAAAAAATGAAATATGTCAAATAATTGGACACAATATCTTGGTCGGGATGTTTGTTTGTTTGTTTTTTAGGATTCAGAAACTAAACTGCCATCTGTCATGAGGAAAAACCCAGGATATCTTAAGTAGTAAATGTA